AGTTGTAAGTCTCTGCAAGCACGAGTAGAACACAAACTAACAGGTTCGTGAAGGAGTGAAACGCTGCGCACACAGAACGCCAGTCACAAACCGTTATCTCCACCAACGACCAGAAGGTGTCCGTCAGTTGCGGCAACAGATGGACGTCGTCGTCGTCGTCGGGGCAGTGTCATCGAAGGTACGCTGGAGACGCTACCATGCAGGAGGTTAATTCGATCAACCCGGTTTGTCGCGTCAGGGCGGTTCTCGTCACTTCCACGACCAAGCATGTAGATGCCGCCGCCGCCGCCACCTACAACATAATGAACGCAGGAAGCACAAACGTCTCCCATCAAAGTGCCAGGCAGAAGGTGCAAACTCACCGTCAAAGACAGTGTGGCGACCAGCAAGCCAGCAGCAGCACAGTTAGCATTCGTGAGCGAACGCAGTTTGCAAGCGCTAGCGAGCACAAATCATCCGATTCTCTTCCGTGAATGGACTGTTGTGGACAGACAGCCGCCGCCGCGCGCGTGAGTGCTGCGTGTACGCCTGCCTGCCCGACTACCGTACCAATGACTCACCCTCCTTGTTATTGGCTCTTGTTAGCAGTGGCCTATTACGACGCATGTGTATCGATACGCACACAGAAGTTAGTCACTCGATTTTACGCGACTCGACTCGACTCGACTGACGTGACACGAATAAACGCACGTGTTGTCTTTCAACCCTGTCTTCTCTCTCTGCCCACGGGTTGTGACCGGCTGTTACTTATATGGGGTTTTGCGGTAGTGTCAATTTAGGCCCCTACAACAGCAACCGCGCAGGCGTCTCCTCCATACTACTGCGGCACTACTTGCACGCCGACATTTCTTTCTGCCTGCAGATGCGGCGGCGGCGGCGATGGCGTAGCTTCGCGAGGATCTGGACGTCCGAAGGACGACTCTCTGTCTCGCCCGCCCGCCCGAGTGCATAAATACCGTCGGTGATGCTTCGTCTCCCAGTGAAGTTAATTACTACGCAGCATTTCGCGCACCAGCACCCCACACCGACGTGGCCGGCACAAGGCTTCGGGGACACCACAGTTGGTGCAG